ACACTCTCACACTCTCTCACACACACACACACACACACACACTCACTCACTCACTCACTCACTCACTCACTGACTCACACTCTCACACTCTCTCACACACACAGAGCCAGAAAAAACCCTTTCGATGTCATCAATACAGATCAAACTACAGCCAGTGTTTGTTCTACCTGTAAATACAATTATAATATAAACTGATAATCATAATAATAGTTTTTGTTCTACCCAAATAATAAAATAATTTTAAATAATTATAGTGTGTTATACTTGTAAATGTAATAGTTTAAATAATAATACTGTTTTTTTCTACTTGTAAATATAATAGTAATGATAAAATATTAAATAATAATAAGTGTTTGCTCTATCTGTAAATTAAAAAAAAAAAAAAAAATTATTAGCCAATGTTTAATGATACACATTAAGTTGTAGCATGAAAATTTTGTAGCATATGTGAGTGATTCACTCGCATTGTAGAGGGTTGACAGAGTCAAAATATAAATGTCATAACCACAATTTTTACATTTTTCAAATCATGATGACATTATAATTTAGCTCAGGAACAATCAAAAATTCTATTACCATAACATAACATAACATCACATCACATAACCATTAATGGAACACTTCTGGCTGTGGTGATTCTAACAACAAATGAACAATTTCATGAATAATGTAAAGCAACAGACGACATGAAACTGTCTCACTCTCAATGAAGACAGACGGAGAGACTCATCTGTGTCTTCAGATAACGAATCAGTGTTTGGCAGCAGGAGAGAAAAACTCAACCATGACCAATCACACAGAGAAAACATTTAATGAAGAATAAAATGACAGGAGGAGAGGAAGGTCACTGATGAAGAAAAAGAGCCCATCTGCAGTGTTATCAGTGACCCTGAAGAGGCCTTGATGAACTGACAGGTGAGGACACAATTCATTAAAGACAACAGAGAGAGTGTGTGTGTGTGTGTGTGTGTGTGTGTGAAAGAGAGAGAGAGCGAGAGAGAGAGTGTGTGTGTGAGCATCTGAGCAGCTTAAAAGATTGAGAGGAGATCAGTGACGACACGTGAAGCAGACAGACAGATGAACAGAGACACAGACAGCCAGCCAGACAGAGGTGTTGAATAATAGAGAATGGTCTGGGTTGAGGTCATTACTAATCACAAAGTCCTCACATAAACCAGAACACACACACTGAAAAACAAGACAAACAGCACTTTTTTGCAGTGCAGACTCAATTCTGTCTTCATTTTTAGTGACTCAAATGAACAAAAACAGCAACAAAACATGTTACAAATGTCTTTTTTATTCAGAAGACAATAAAATAAGAAAAGAGACCCGATCCATTCACCCTCAGACGATCTGAAGCATTAAAACATCACATATCAAAATTAATTCACACAAGCCAAACATCTGGGTTCAGTAAGATTTATAATGCTTAGCAAGGCTGCATCTATTTGATCAAAAATACAATAAAAACAGTAAAAATGTGAAATATTATTACAATTTGGAACAGCTGTTTTCTGTGTGAATATCTATTAAGCTGTAATGTATTTCTGTGATGCGCAGCTGTATTTTCAGCATCATTACTCCAGTCTTCAGTGTCACATGATCTTCAGAA